TACTGAGGAACTCCTGAACAAGGCGGCTGGGCGCGACTCAGCGGAAGCAATCAGAGAGGCAATGTATGTTCTTTTTGACGTCCTAATTGCCCGGATGTAGGCTCTGATGCTGGATGTTAAAAGTGCTCGGTCCGACTCGGATTTTCTGGATCTCCATCGGTGCTCTAGGCGTCTCTTTCGGCGCTTCATCTCCCGGAGTTCCTCAGTAACCCAAGGGGCCCTCCTGGATCCACTGCCTCGGAGCAGCCGTAAAGGCGCAATCCGGTTAAGAGCCTCTGTGAGACATATTTATTTCTTCTTGCTTCCTTCTCAGCTTTGCAACTTAGCTAAACACATCCTTTTGGACCTCCCCTGCCCAAACCCTTTTAAGATTTTTGATTCACTCACTTGGTGAGCTCATTTCTTGGAAACGGGCTACTTTATATTCCCCCTGCAGCCTTTCCAATGGCCTCTGCTTCCTCAGCAGGAAGCAGTCATTTAATCACTCACAGTAGGGAATCAAAGGCATCCCCTTCCCCATCGTATTCAGATGTGGGCTTACTCAGAGTAGAGCATGCCTAGTCCTCGTTCCTTCCTCTTCTGCACTTGTTTAGAGCTACCCAACTCTGTTAATGCTCCCTCTTTGGCTGGCTCTGTCCCATCCCTGGAGGGTTTGCATGAACCCTCAAAGAAAACAAAACACCAAGACATTGCAAAGCGTCTAGAATAATTCGATTTCCAGCCTCAAAATTCAAATCAGAGGCAAAAGCCCACACGGCACAGCTGCAAAAATGGCCAGCTGGCTTGAGTCGCCCAATAATATAGAGCCTGGCTAAGGCAAAATGCAATTCCGGAGCATGAAAACATTTCAGACTTTCAATCAACTTTCCAAAGAAGTCTGAACAATCATGTTCAACTCAGGAGCCACACAATCTTTTTTTTCTTTTTAACACCTAAGAGCTAGAGAGGTTTTGCCTATCGTTAAAGAGTCCAAGCGCTCCGCTTGGGCTGCAGGTGTGTTTTCCCTGGAAGAGCTTCTCAGCCACGGCAATTCCTCAACACGGGAGGACTTTTCCCTCCCAGAATCCCCAACCAGGAGGGCTGCATCTGCTGGGACGGGACGCCTTCAGGCTGGCCGGGCAAAGGGTTCCCCCCACAAGGGGCCACGAAGGAAGCCCTCATCGCCCCCGCTGCTCACAGGCTCCCCGGCATGGCCTCCTCCAAGGACCCACCCCCCCCGGCAGGGAACCAGAAAGGACCCGCTCTCTGTCGGGGGAGGGGGTCCTCCGGGGCCTCTCCCGGGTCACCCCCTCTCCTCCTTCAGCCGAGCGAGGAGGGCCCCTCAGGGTCGCACCAGAGCCCGGGCCCCCCCGAGGATGCGGCTCCCGGGAAACCTGAGCGGGGCTCGGCCACGCGCCCTGTCGAACACCTGGCGCCGGGCCAGCCGGCTCCCCCCGCGGCTGCCTCCTTACCCGCCGGCATGGTCACCCCGCCGTCCATGGTCTCCGAGCACCGCCTCGGCCACCCCGCACGCGCGTGACGTCACCGCCGGGACGAAGGCGGGAGCCTCCCACAAACACGCCGCCCCCTCCCCCCGCGCTCGCCAGCACAGCGGAGACCGTGAGCGACGTCGCACCTGGACCTCCGGCCACGCCCCGCCCCTGCCTTCACGCGGCCAATGACCGGGCCCACGCCGGCTCCTCCCCTTTTCCCCGCCCGCTGGTTCCGACCAATGGGGCCGCGGAACGAGACTTGGACGCCCGCCTCCTCCTTTTCAACTGCTCTCTGCGGCGTTCTATCCACGCCCCTAGTTCAGCCGGGCAGGCAATCGACGCCTGCCGCTCCCCTCCCTCCGTCGCACGTGGCTGCGGGTGCGAGCGGGCGCCCGTCTTACATGCTGGAGCGGGAATCCTCTCCAGGCTGCAGTGCTCTGCCAGCCTCACCCGGTTTTCCTCGGACGGAGGGCGTGGAGGTAGAGCCCGGGGCTCGCTTCAGTCCCGGAGATGCTCCCGGCAAAGTCATAGAACGCTGCATGGCTTGGCGTTTGCGATTGCCCGCGTCGTGAGAACGGATGCCCGGAGCTTGGGAGACAACGGGGCTGTTGGCGCGCCTTCCCGAATCCGGGAAGTCCAAGTTCGTGCCGGAAAGGCTCCCTTGAAACGGCCGTGCCCCAGCCACGAAGCAGCGCTGGTTGCTTTCGCCTCTGCCGCCGAAGAGGGCCCTGCTTGACTGGGAGAGAGCAAGAGGGGAGGGAAGGGACAGAACGGAATGCAGCGCCGCAGAAGCTATGCGACCCAGTAAGGCAGCATAGTATACCTTGTTCTGCGGTCCAGGCCCTCGGGTGAAGTCAGGCTAGGCTGGTGGTCCTAGGAAGAAGGCAGGCTCCGAGAGAATCAGTGGGAAAACCCTGGGACTCCGATGATCCAACAATTGCATCCCCAGCCTTGGGATGGGGCTCCTCTTCCGTGGTAGAAGCGCCTCTCCAAGCCATTTGTTAGGAAATGAACTCCACACAGCAGTTGGATAATGTAAAAAGGTGTTTATTCTGACTTTCACAACAGTGAAAATTAGTGAACAGCAGTGTTGCACAGTGGTACCATACTTTGCTAACCACAAGCCAAGAGGAATCTGGATAGATGATGTGGAGAAAAAAAAAAGGGGGGGGGGGTTACAAAGAGTGTGAGGCAGGGAAGGTCTTTAAGACTAGAGGAAGTTGGGGGGGGGGGATCTGCTTATCAAGCAAACATGACCAGAGGGGCTAGTGGCTCCCTGAAGCCAAGGAAGCCCAGAATCTGCCACAATCGGCTGCCAGAAACTTTTTCAGATGCCGGGCAATTCTGTTCCCCTCAAAAGCAGGCAAGACCGAAATCCCCCACCCCCAAAGACAATGGACTTTGGCCAGCATAGCCAATCCAACCGTCAATGTCTGACAATTCAACACTATCCCACCATCACACCCATTTGACCATTTGTATAAGATTGATTTTAGAAATCTGGCTTTTCCAGTGTGATAAAAATTTCTAGCAAAGGGAAAAATAAAATATATTTGTTTATATTACAATGCAACTGAATGGTTTTTTTTTTGTTGACAGTAGGTGGCGCTGATTTTCAAGGAATGGAGCCTTCTTGTTACCAAGCCTGACTTTGTTGACAAGCGATAGAACATTGCTGTATCAAGCTAGGTCTGCCTCCTGTCCTGAAAGACCAAGAGCCAGGATAGAAATTGGACCACAAGAAAATTCACATTTGGTATCTTGCTTCTTCTGTGAAAGGAAATGGTGGTGACATGCATCTTGCTCTTGAGATTTCCAACCTCACCCCCCACATCACAGCTACAGGAAAAATAAGCCTCAACGTCACTGGGGTCTGACCAGCAAGCCTTGGTTAACATCCAAAAGAATCACAAAATAAATACGTCTTACAAGAGTATTGGCAGTCGGTCAAGCGAGTGTCGCATCCCAAAAGATTCAACTGCAATGTTTTTAAAGCATGATTCCTCCTCCGCCCCTTCTGTAAAGAGTTCTCCAAATGCACCCAGTACCATCATGTGAGATGCTCTGTGGCTAAAGCACTGTTCAAACCACTGCTGCATTGGGCCCATGATTACCCTTCAAAAAAAAATCATGTCTTTGGTAATTTGAAAAAGCTCACACACCAATGGCCCCTTGACCACACACAAAGCGCTTAAGCAGAATTCCTTACTTTGTCAAAAGTGTACAGATTCCCATTTGTGTAATAATCATAATTGTGAGGTGGGGAGGCATAAAATACTCTGCAAATTATCCCCGTCTCAGTTAACCTATTCCAAATATGGCAAAAAAAATGTACATTTCAGGAAGGAGAGATGTAGATATATAAGAACAGCAGCTGGAATTATGTCTACTTAAATTAAAAGTTGATAGCTGCTACAAACTCTTTAAAACACTGCTTTTATCAGTGAGGAAGTGTGCTGCATGACAGCTAACAGCCCCTTCAAAACCCTGAGATGAGAGATTCTCCCCCCTCCCCGATTCCAGTAAATTTAGATATGCTACCGTTTTAGATTAGAGTCTTTTATCCTTTCATTTTTGTGATTGCTGGAAAAACAAATATAGTCTTTTATCAATTGGGTATGTAACAGCAGGAATGGGACACAATCCTCTTCAACCAGATAGAAGATATTGCCTTCTAAAGAAGATATTACCTGGAGTCAGTTGGCTTTTGGGCAAGATGTACAGCTGGGTTCTGAAGTCCACTGATCTTCCTCTCACTGCTCTTGAGACACAAGATAGTGGGGTATATGACAAGAGGCTCCACTGCTAGCCACCATGCCTGATTCCCTTTGGGGCAGCATCTCTTCCAGATGTTTGGCACAAGATTCAAATGCTCCTCGTTGAGATGCGGAGCTTAAAGCTAGGGTCACAGTTCCAGCCAGATCCTTGCTGTGTGAGTTATGGCTGAGCTTCAGAAAACTTTTTAAATTGTTAATTCGGTAGCTTTGGAAAAATAAGAGAGACTCCTCCTCACACGAAGACACCAGTGGCTTTCAGGAGCCCATCATTAGCTGAAGAATTGGACACCAAGAGGCAGACAGAGAGACAAGCAGCAGTCTGTGGCTGGTTCAGAGTTCCGCAAGGTATGAAGCAAAGTTAAGCTATCAGGAGCCAGAACATGATGACGAGGGCCACGAACAGGAAGAGGCGAGAAAGAAACTGTTCATCCACATACTGAGGAGTCCCTGGAACAGCTAAGGAAAGCGAAAACAAAGCCCACAGTTATCACCTGATTGTTAGAATTTACAAATGAAACTATGTTTTCCGAGAGTTGGAGCTCTAGGTGTGGAATCAGCCTCTAAAGCTGTTTTATTAGGCGGCTTCCCAGAGTCCTTAAAATGGGCAGTCCCTACAACTGTCTTGTCTTCTTAGAAATAGATGCATTTTGGAAGGAAGAACTTCTTCCAAAGGATCTATGGGTTCCCTGCTTATTTAGTCATTATACTTGTTGTGTTAGTAATACAGTTGTTAAATGAATTTGGTTTCCCCATTGAGAAGGTTGCAAAAGGTGATCACGTGACCCAAGGACACTGCAACTGTCATAAATATGAACCACTTGCCAAGCATCCAAATGCTGGTCGTGTGACCATGGATAGGCTGCAATGGTTGTGTGAAAAACTGTCATAAGTCACTTTTTTCAATGCTGTTGTAACTTCAAATGGTCACTATAGTTAAGTCAAGGATAACCTGCATTGTAAAAAATTATTAAATCACTGGAAGTAGATTTCAATTAAATATGAGAAAATATCTACAAGTCCATTAAAGAGTTTAGCCAATGACCCAGAGAGACAATGAGCATCCCTTCCCTGGATATATCCAAGGGGAAACTGGATGGACATCAGATGAGAGTGCTTTATTGTGGATCCCTGCTATGGCAGAAGCTGCACTGAAGAGGCCATCCCAATGCAAGGCTTTTGCGCATTAGCTGTTCAGGAAGGCCATAAAAACTATCAGTGCAACAGTTTGTCTCCAAAAGGAGTGGGTGCTCCAGCATTAGAAGTTTTTACAGAAAAGATTGGACAGCCAGTTCTCCGGAATGGTGTATGGTCTCCAGCTTGGGCAGGAGGTTGGAGTCGAGGACCTCCAAAGTTCTTTCCAACTCTGTTATTCTGTGTTCTTCCAGGTATCGCAAAGATCTCCCAAAGGAGATGTCCCTGTTCTCTAGGGCAGGGGTCTTCAACCTTGGCAACTCTAAGACTTATGGACTACAACACCCAGAGTTCCTTAGCAGCTTCGCTTCACTGCCTGAGGAATTCTGGGAGTTGAAGTCCAAAAGTTTTAAAGTTGCCACAGTTGGAGACCCCTGCTCTAGAGCCTGCTACAATTGATCAGATAATGACTCTGAAGAGGGTCATATACAGTACAGATGCTCATTGGGCAAGGTGAGCAGATGAGTATTGATTCAGGGACGAATAGTTAAGCAAACCAGATCAGAATACTTGATTGCACAACAACTGAAGCTCAATGAAGCAATGCCCAGTCACGATTAGCCAGGGTAACTTTATTTAATTCCTTACCTGGAGGGGGCCGCCCATCGTTTATATTGAAGGCTGTAGCAAATATGCCAAATGGAAATGCTCCAATTCCAAATGACATTTGGAAGCCTCCATCGCCAAACCCAAAACCCTGGAAACCCTAGAAACAAAAAAATGATCAACGTGTATATATGTCCTAGTTTATAGACTAAAACCTGGCTGGTTGCAGTCTCCTTCAGTAGATTAGAGGGACTTCGCAGTGTGCGCTGCTGTGAGAACATTATGTGCTGAGAGTAGCATCCCAGACTGAACTACTTGATGGACTTCGCTCCATTTCCCTTCCAACAGAAGAGAATAAACATAGCTCAGGGATGAACTGTGAAATCCTTGCTGCTCTTCAAGCTTAGTGGTTTGCGTGTAGACGTTTCATTACCCAACTAGGGAACATCATCCATGCTTCTTTGGCCTTGCCTCCTTCCATTCAGGTGGCAATCCTTTATTGCCTTTACTATTATTCTGAAACTTTTCAATAAGGGGGGGGGGGGCTCCCTAAGAGAAGCAGTAAGGGACCTCCGCAGAAATACAGTGACAGGAGATTCATTCAAGGTTTTGTAAGAGAGTCACATTAGTCCATGGGAGTAAAACATCCGACTGTGTAATCCCTTGTTCAACAAACGTATAATTACATTTCAGTTCATTAAATGGGTCCATCTGAAAAGGTGCTGCAGATTCCCGATGCTTGAGCTACAGATCATGAACGTTGATGCCTTTAACAGAATTCGTTAGCTGTAAAAGGGGCTACCGGAGTCCTGGTTTTCAGGGCTTTGTTAGTGTGTTCTCATGCGATTGTTTTGGGTGCAAGAATGCAGCGTGTTTCCAATTTAAATTGGACAAGTTGATCGCATGCTAGCTTTCCCAAGACTTTAAGAGATAAGCACGATGGGTCTTTGCTAGTCAGAGGCGGCAAAACATGCCTGAGCAACCTGAGCTTATCCTCATAGCAAAAAGAGCCGAAAGATCAGAAAGCACCTCCAGGCTGGGCAAGGCAGCCTGTGTGCTTTGCCACGGGAGCTTCAGGCAGAAGCCATGCCGAAAAGGTGCCCTCCATCCCCAGGACCTGATTCAATAAGGCTTTTGCTCTCCGGGAAGAAGAAGACCAAAGTGCTCCTTAATCACCCCCAGCAGAGCTGTTTGTTTGATGAAAAGAAACCCGAGAGGAGCCTCTGGAGGCTCCCCGACTTGCATGGAAACAGGCAACTCTTTCATCAGGTCAGGCACACTCCGCCACTCAGGGCTACGAAAGGTTAAAACGGCCCATTTTCTCCAGAGTCTGCTAGTTATAAAATCAGCCTTCACAATCTCTTTGGACAGAACATGCTGCACCTCATGTAATGCAGGCTAAGTTGATACCCACTATATTTTAAAGCTGAGTTTCCAACCTTGACAAGTTTAAAAGTTGTGACTTCAACTCCCAGAATTCTGAAATCACTGTCTAAAAGTCACTGCCTAAATCGGAGGTGTCCAGCCTTTGCCACTTTTAAGACTTATGGACTTCAACTCCCAGAATTGCTTTGTTTGCTGGTGAATTCTGGGAATTGAAGTCCACAAGCCTTAAGGTTGCCAAGATGGGGAACTCCTGTTTTAAGGGTAGTCACACTGCAGCTGAGTACACACTGCAGTCACACTTTCAGATTCGGGTTTTCCCAGATGTGCCAATATGCCACCTCTAATAAAATGGAACTTTGAGGAAATTCAAGCCTCGGAGACTCCTTTCCTTAGGGGTATTGCTTGAAAACCTGACAGGAATCTACACCAGAGCATTATTTCTATCAGCAATTTAACTCTCTCTACATAAGTGGTCATCCAAGATTTGCCTGGTTCAATTTGGCTTACAAAGACCCGAAATAGACAAGTCTGAAAAGTTTCCCACCACCAATGGACCAGCTTTGCTGCATTCTCACTCGGCATTTATGAGAAGCACAAGCCTCTCCCATATTCTCTGTACTCACCCCTCTGTTTTCTGGCTCAGGTCTCTGGCCTTGAGGTCGAGGTGGTGTTTTCTCCCTGCAAGATACAATCCATTATGAGGATATTTAGCAATTGGCTGGAGGCCCCAATGGGAGAGTAGCAGATCCCACCTCTCCCCTATACATTCTCTTCCAAAGAGAGAGAGAGAGAAAGCACACTTTATTTTGACGTTGCAAGCTGCCCAGAATCTCCTTGCAGTGAGATGGGCAACAAACAAATTTAATAAATAAATATTGCTGAGGCCCAGAGCCTCTCTCTCCCTCCCTCTGGGCCTCAGCCCCTCCTTTTCATCTTAAGAGCCAACCTGTTGCAGCATTTCTACTCCTGTGGTGAGAAAGCATCAGTCAGTGCACAGAGAAGGTCTCCGCCTCTATGTCACCTGTCTTCTTGGTTTTTAGTTATTTATTTAATCTTAATTTCAATTGTTTTGTATTCTTTACCTTTTAATCCTTTCATAAGCCACCCAGGGTTGCTGCAACAGTGAGGACACAAATAAACCTCCAAGTGGCCTCAACAACTCTCTAAAAGGATGCAAATGACCAGCTGTCTGCAAGGAGTATAAATCCTTCCATTCCCCACCATCCAGTCAGAGCTGAAGAAGCTCCTTGGGTGAGAAGCAAAATGTCTTCAAAGAAAAACCAAGAAAGTCCAGTTATGCCTCTTGAAAAAGCACCTTTGGGACATGCAAGAGAGCTGCAGGCCTAGCTGCCACAGTGCCAATCACAAGGAGACCCAGGGGCAGAGTGGACACCCACAGCCTGAAAATGGCTTTATTGGAGAATAAGAAACCCAGCAAGGTTCACTCCAGGGATGCAGAAGCAGCTCCCAAGTCCTCCATGTTTTAGCAGACCCTGGTCATGAGAACCCCACATAGGCTGGTATGAGTCATGTATGAGCAGAGCTAGCAAACAGCCATTCAAGAAAAAGCCTCTACTGTTACTATCTGTCTTCTGAAAGAATCCGCATCAAGTCCCAAAAAGACAAAATCCTCTTGGATATCGGGTTTTTAAAATATTATTTCTAAGTTCCAGAGAAGCCTTCCACTGTTCAGTAATGCAGCTGCCTATGGCAGATTTGGACTACGACTTGAGAAGCTTACCTAATGCTAAATTTGTCCTTCCTTCAGATTCTTTCTCGCCTATCCTACTAAGATAGGGAGAGGATGGGAGGAGAAACCCCCAGAATCAAGCCTGACAATCTTATTTGTTGATTCTTGGCCTGTGAGCCTTCTGGGTTGACACACCAAAAGGAAGATGTGGAACACTATATTTCCCGTCTCCAGCTGCATTGTGTGAAGCCACCCAGAATGCTGCAGCCGGGGACGAGCAGCACATGGAGCAATCTATTACCAGTAACAAATATTTGAATAGTGCGATTCTTACAAGTAAGAAAAAGTTGCCGAAACCTGAAGACTGATCTGAGTCAAGAGTAGCCAGACAGGTTTTCTTCCATAAATTCCACTTGAGGAGAACTTGAAAGCAAAAGGCTGTTCCCAGGGGAGGCCGTCTTACCTGGGGTCCTGTTGTCCGGTGCTGCCCCTTCCATAAAGCGGTATAACTTTATCACGGCTGATTCCTGCTTTACATACAGGACACACCTGTCTGTTTGGCCTGGTCTCTAGCCACTGAAAGGCAGAAAAGGGGAACGGCATCTGGTGAAAACCTGGACGACAACAGAAGAATGCCTTGCATCTCCCAGGCCTCAGGGCAGGGAGTCTGTGGAACTCTGGGGTGGTTGCTAGTTATGTGACTTTGTCTGGACACCTGAATTCTTTTTCTTCGTTTTTCTATTTTAAGCATAATCACTTAGGAGCCACCCAGAGTCGTTTTGGAATTCTAACCATTCTAACCAAGGTCACAGCTGAGCTTGTTAACTCGCTGCACTGCAGAGAAAAGCAGCTCAGGAGCTCCTTTAGGCAATCTCTCGGGGTTGAGGGAAAGAAAAAAATGGGTCAGGCATAGGACAATAGGTACCACCAGATTGTAATGGTGAATAGGGACTGAGAGATGCTGCAAACATCATAAATGTGGGCTTTGGTCGCAAAATTATTTACATTGTAACTGAATGGTCACTATCCGAGGCAGTCGCTTGATGAGGACTACCAGTATTTTTTGCAGAGCCCAAAGTGTCCAGCTGTTTCCCCTCTCACAGAGCTCCCAACACTGTAAAATAATCCTGGTCTGGACAGAGCCTTGGCACATCCATAATTTTACACTGTGGGATTTTGGAGAGGAGGATTCTGGAGAGCAACCTCAAGCCTTTCACCCAGTGGGAGATGGGTCAGCACCTTTTCAGACATTAAAAATTAAATATCAAGAGACACCAACCATCTCAATGTCTGTCAGGCCCAGCCCAGGAACGACATAGAACTTTCTTTATTTGTTCACACCAAATAGGCAGAATCTTGTCAGACTAAACTTTTGCCACTCTCACCCGAGCGGATGAACCCTGGAAGATTCCTAGGACCGACTCTTCCCCCATCTCTTATCCATCGCTGGGCTGTGTTGCCTCTTTTCTCAACTGAATGTGTTCCCTCCTTCCTGTTAAGCTGCTGCTTCCATAGCCCATCACACCCCTCCCCCTTGGTAGCCACAATCCACCACAATATCTCACCTTCCTAATGTGAAAGATCACAAGATCCTTATGGGAGAGCACCAAAATTTCACCAAAGATCCAATGTCTTTTAAAACAGAGTGTTATCTTCTCTTGTGTGGTTGGGAAATGTGATTTAAGCCCCCCATAAATTCTAAAAGGGGTCTCCTAAAACCATCTAACTGCCATCTGAGGTATTAATCTAACCTACCTGACAGAATGACAGCAAAGATAGCCAGAATATATCCTGGATGCTCATTGTTACTAAACAGCGGCATCTCATTGCTGCTCATCCCTCATAAAAGCCCCCAAACAGTAGATTGCCAACAATTGCATGGTGAACGCTAATTACTAAACGGAGTTGCCTTGGGGAGGACGCACAATCCATTTAGAATTGGAAAGGCATATTGCACCTTCCCAGAGTCCCTTGGGAAACCAAGGAGGTGGATTGGGTAACCAAAGCTGATGAAAGACAAAGTAAAGCAGAACTAGCCTTACCTGGTGTAAACAAGGCCAACTGCAGGGATTCCCAAAGTGATTTGGAGAAGGTCCGCAGAGGTGGCAGTGGAGAGAAAGACCAACACGTACACGTTAGATGTGGGCAATCAGAAATCTGGAATCCGGCTCTGCAGATTCAATTCTTGGGTAATGCAATCACAGTATTTTAAAAGGTAGCAGAAAAGCAGGATTTTCCTGCTTTTTTAATAACTGGTCTTCCCACTTATACAAACTGGTGTAGAGATTTCTTGAACTAAGGGACTCTAAAGTGGAACTCCCCTTACTACGAAAGCATGAATTGAACTCTGCATAATTGAATTCTAAATTAACTGAATTCTGCAGAATAAGGAAAAGAATAGTCCATCCCTAGGAAATGCAAAGTGATTCACAGCCTGAATAACTAAATGAGAGCACGCACAGAAAAAGAGGGCAGGATTATTTGCTCTGCCAAGTCTCAGAAGAGAGGTGGCCTCAAATCTCGGATCATCGGCTGGGAAGATTCTTGAATGCATTCTCACATTACCCACAGCTGTTGTACTAATGTCACTAGCAATAGCAATAGCAGTTAGACTTATATACCGCTTCATAGGCCTTTCAGCCCTCTCTAAGCGGTTTACAGAGTCAGCATATTGTCCCCAACAACAATCCGGGTCCTCATTTTACCCACCTCAGAAGGATGGAAGGCTGAGTCAACCCTGAGCCGGTGAGATTTGAACAGCCGAACTGCAGAACTGCAGTCAGCTGAAGTAGCCTGCAGTGCTGCATTTAACCACTGCGCCACCTCAGCTCCTAAGATATTTCCACCCCTGTTAACTGCAGGTACTACTTCTGGAAACCCAGGATTAGTTAAGATTGGATGTTTTTATACTGATGTGAAATGTTATACTCTGGCAGAACCTGTACATATTTAAAATGCCCTCCAGGAACTCCTGTTTTGTAACCCAGAGTTTGGCTCATTGTCTTTTCCTCACTTTCATAATAGTGGCTGCGGCTTCTGGCCATTATACCGAGAGAAAACAAGAAAGTCTAGATGACGTGGCTGGATTTGGAGCTTGGGTAAAAGACAAGATGGTGTGTTCTATCTGCTTTAAATTCAACAAGTTTTGTTTTAGAAAAGGTAAGAGAGAATTTTAAACTGGAATATTAATTCAGAGTGAACAAATACAATCACAATTGTATGGATGCTGTCAAAAGTTTCTTGGCTGCAAACTAAGCAACATCTGAAATTCAGGCTCCCAACAAAGCTATTGGTAAGGATGTGACAAAAAAGAAATGCCAAGAATGAGACAGGCAATATCTAAATGTGATAAATACAAATAAATAATGCAGGAAGCCCTCTTTTTCTAATTTCAGCTACTGGCTTATCACTTACAACTACTGTCAATGCTGCCCCAATTTCATAATTAATTTACTCAGTTTAAATTTGGTTGCGTGAACAGTAATTAGATGTTCTTATATATAGTTTACAAACCATGTGTAACAACAGCTAGATTTACATAATATGCAAAGTCAAACCCAACCAAGTCACATTATGCTTTGGCATAATATGCAAATCCAGCTACTAATTAAAGCAGCCAATAGAATAGTTTATCAAGAACACGGGATGGCAGCTCACAGCTTACTGATGGAAGGCAGGCTTTGCAAGCAGAAAGCCACCATTTGCCAAGAGCCTTGAAGAATTAGATTATGCTGAATGAGATTGAGTTGAGGGCCTCCTAGAAGCCAAGCAGCACCTCTAGCCATGGACAGGAAGGTTCATACCTGCACATATCTGTGCCTGCCTCACCCCTAATCCTGGCATTTTAGCCTAAGCTCTCTTTGCAACAACTGACACTCAGCCATTCAGCAGCAAAAGTTGCTGATCAAGGGTTCTTGAGCCAGGATGATTGCCTAAAGATTGGAACTCTGTAGCATCCAATCCTTAAAGCAATTCCAAGACTAATAGGTGGGCTAGAATGGAGACAAGATTCTGTTGGTTGCTTGGACACCAGAAATGGGCTACATTCTGAACCACAACTGGGATTGATCCCAGAAACCATTTCTCTTCCCTTAAGTCCATTCCTTTCCCAGTTCCACCCCTTGATGCGTTCTCAAGGATTGAATGGTGTCATCCAACCCTACGGGGAGCAAGTCAACTACTCAATATAGAGCAGAGATGTCCAACCTTGCCCACTTTAAGGCTTATGGATTCAACTCCCAGAATTCCCCATGCTAGCTGGGGAATTCTAGGAGATGAAGTCCACAAGTTTCAAAGTGGGCAAGTTTAGACACCCCTAATGTAGAATCAACAATGAGTTTCAGACTTGAGCTTTAAAATTCTCACTTGCCTGATAAGGATGATATGGGGAAAGAAGAAGCAAGTGGGGGGCAGAGCCATTAAGAGCCCTGATTTTAAGTATTTGCCTGCTGAAAATTGGGAGTGATACTGACCAGAACAGGTGGCCACACAGACTGATCACAGCATCCTTGGCGGTGTCCAAACAGATGTTGCATTCAAATGTGCTGTCCTGACCTGTACTCTCCCCGTTGCTGTTGTTCCCACTGGTTCCACCTGCACTGGAACTTTCTGTGGAAGCTGAAGCTGCAGGTCCTTTGCTGGCCATTTTTGGCTTCCAATTAGGAAGTCTGTGGGAAGCTGAATCCTGGCAGAGCAAATAATAATAATAAGTAAGAGTTAGAGCCAAAACTGGGAAAAAAATCATCAAATGATTCAAAGTGCAGATTTTGTGCAAAGAAACAGTAGATTATGTACTTGGCTTATAAGCAACAACACAACACAGTTGCCAAAATGATTCGCTGGAGCACCAGTAAGAATTTTCATTTGCCAGTAATGAAAAAATGGTGGGAACTAGTAGTTGAAAAAGTAGTCAAAATGATGAGAATAAAATATTGTGAGATTTCAAATTCAAACTGATAAAGTCTTGGCTCATAATACTCCAGAGTTAACTATGTTTGGGAAAAACCATAATTGTGTGGATAATTAATGGGGCAATATCAAAGGAAAGTAGAATAGAAAACAAAGGATTGGAGAAGATCACAAAGTATCAACATCTGAAAACAGAAATTGAACGATTGTGACACAAACCAGCTGTGGTGATTTCAATAATTATTGGCACATTGGGTACCATAACAAAAACTCTTGGACGGCACACAGAAAAATGGTGCATTGACAAAATTTCCATCTGTCAATTGCAACAGGCCACACTGTTTGGCTCAACACATATACTATGCTAATTTATTATGACATCTTAGATTTTTGGGAAGCATTTGATGTGTATGTAGGCCAACATCAGCAAAAGAACTGCAGCTGTCACTTCATCTTGTTCTGAACAGACTATAAAATATTATTATTATTAATGGACATGTCAGTAACCTGGAGACCGCAGAATAGAGAAGAACTGGAAAAAAATCACAAAATACAAAGACCTGCAAAAAGAAGAATGATTGTGGCAAAAGAAAATAAAGATGTACCTGTTCTCTCCCAAGCCTCTACAATATATAAGGACACAGACTTGGTTGTCTGCCACAACTAAGGAGGGAGATAAGCTATCTCTATGAAACAAGGCTTGAACTCACGAAATTCTCCCAATCTTTCTCTACAGCTGGATCAGTAAATTGTTGTTTCCTGCAAAATTTCCCTCCCATCGCCCCACCTAAAGCTCTCCAGGAGGAGCCAATCAGTAGCCACCTGTTCCTATTTCCTTCTGTGACCCTTTTTCCAAAGCTGCTCCCTCCTCCTTGCAGCCATTTTAGAATTCGCTGGTACTATACCAACGATCGTGATTGGAGTATACGCCCCTATGGAAACAAGCGACGATGCTGACAAGGATCTATTTTATGAAAATTTACAGCAAACGATGGACTCATACCAAGGTTGACATTTACGAAGATTAAGTCAAGTCAAGTCAAGTCA